TCTTATCTCAACGCTTAAAGGTTTAGCTGAACAAAGGGACAATCAAGCAAAACCACCCACTTTCTGCGCTTGTGACTCATGAAAGAAAGACTGCCAGCAATCCACCAAGAATACAAATCACTCTGTGCTGACGTGCATGTGTGAAATCCTCAACAATGGGTTACTCCAGCTGAGGCAGAGTTTATTATATTAAAGTGCCATGTTTAATTTTGTAAATGGAGTTTGTGCATGGCTGCCACAGGTGAACTGATCAGGATGTTGCATGTTAAAGCAGCGCTAATATAGAGAACCTGGTGAGGCTGAGCCAAAGGACCCTCCTGTAGATACTGAGTGTCAGAGCAAACAACTAACCACCATCATCTCCCATATTCTCCATCAGCAGTGTGGCTATTAACCTTAAGGCACCAGCAACTTCAAAGAACGCTTTCAGCCACTTCAGAACCCTCCAGCGCATTGTCTGAAACCATTTATGGGTGTTCAATTATGTTTTAGGTCATTGTCCTGCTGTCTCATGAAGACCCAACTTTGACATCGGGTCCTATATAGCACCCCTGAATGTTGGTAGTCTTCGGCTTTCATAATGCCATATACAGGGAAGACATCCAGTGCCTGAAACAGCAAAGCGAACCCAAAACATCTGTGAATCTCCATGTATAATTACCATTACAATTTACTATACACAAGTGTTCAAACCAGAAGAAAAGCATTTTGTTTGTACTGGAGTGGCACATTCTGGAAAAAATAACTGCAGTTCCTACTGTGCATGTACTGTAACTTCACCCAAAAGTGATTGTACTTCTTTAACATTATATGAGCATCAACATAATGGAAACTCAAAGGTGTGTTGGTTTCCCAGTTGTGCTGCTAGGTACACACTGTATTACATTTTGCAAAGTAGTGCTGTACTTGTAAAAGAAAATGTCATGGCAAAAAATGTGGCTGCTCCCATCCTGTATTACAACCCCTCCACCCGGATTCAATTCTCTATAGGACGCCTTCAGAGCTCACACAATGTAAATCACTCGTGGTCCCTATTCATGTGCTGATTAATATGCAAAGACAGCCCATCCTCATCTAACAGTCAGCAGAGAAGAAATACAGCAGCCAGCTAAGTCAATCGGAACTATAACTACTGTTAAATTCAGTGGGAAGAAGCACTGTGAGGTAGCATGACACATAGTCTTGACACAAAGTTTCATTCTCACCTTAGCCTTTAAATTATACACAGACAAACAGCTGCTAATGGCACTGACTCAGCCATTCCTATTCTATGTGCTCAAATATTCATTTCTATCAATTAAGTAGGATTATGACTAAAAAAACATTTATAAAGTGCCATAGTTATTTTGGGATCTTCATCTTAAAGCTGTAGAATCATAAATGTATGTAGTTTTTATAAGTGCATTTCTTCCTACTTTTCTTGTTTAGTGACTTCAACTTTAATTACACGGTTGTAGACAAATCCTGTTTAAGGCCCTTAATGGACAATTTCTTCAGTATTTGTGCAATCACTTTTTCATAAATTTCCCAAATGCTAGCAAGGAAGCAAGGTATGAAATGTTTTAGGTTACAGTAAGGTGCAAGTTAAAGAAATGTATTTTAAATACACAAATAAAAATGACAGTAAGAGCAAGAAGCAAACCTTCTGTATGACAGACAAGCACAGAATGAATGATACCAACTGTAAACTTCAGCAGCAGCACAGAATTCACACCTGGCAAATCAACTCAGCTTGCAATTATGACTGAGCTTTGTACAGTAGCAGTCCTATGCAGCTAAATATGAACAAACCCTAAAGGGGGTACAGCTGTAATCTGAGCAGCTCTTGTACCAATGAGAATTTGATCAACTAATAAATTGGTACAAAACCGGTACATGCACATTGCAGCATGGCCATAGTTGCAAAATTTAGACTCTCGTTTTATTTAGAGAACAGACTAAAAGTGCCTTATAATTTTCTCTTGTTTGGCTGCTTTTCCAGTTCCCCCAAGTCAAAAATAGCCTGTATTATTTTCATAGTGGCTTTGAACTCACCCCAGCAGTTCAAGTCCCATGTGTTAGTGATTTAGCAATTGTGTATTTTCTCCCCTTCAAAACATTAAGTTGAACCTATTCTTCATATTTTAGAGTTCAGCTCTATGCCTGAAGCATGAAAACATTAGAGGAGCAGTAAATGGACTTCAGTGTTTGTATTGCTCATCCCTTGTCTTTAGATTCAAACACAGATGTTTTGATTTGTTCTCATTTCCTAAAACTAAAAATGGAATGGCAGGTGTACAGAAGTAACAGGATGTTCAGACCAAAAGCAACACTTGAAAAGTACAGGGAGCTGCACTAAAAATACAACTGAAGAAGTCAATTATGAGGAATAGATGTACAAGCTTAAAGTAAGTCAGACCACATTGGTTTAAAATATCATGAGGAGCATTTTGACAACTCAAAGTTTTCAGTTATTTTTTTATCCTTATGATCATAAAGTGAAACTGGATTTATCTTGGTCATGTTACAAAGTAATCTATCATGAGTATTTGATCAGCCAACAGTGTGTTGCTGGATGAGGCTGCAGTGTGGCCAAAGTTAGGTGAGGGTGTAGCAGACAACCCTGCACGCTGTTTCTAAAATTAACAGAACAGGACATGAAACAGGAAAAGTTGTGACAACCTCTTAACCGCCTATAGCAACAGTAACTGACTACCTCGGGCCCAAACTCTAACAGAACACTTTCAGTTTGTAGACAATGACCATGGATATGCTAGATCACTCCAATAACACAAGGTCACAAGTAGTAATGCACACTAGACTGAGTCCATCTGGCTACTGACAGACTGATGGAAAAGGCTGCTATCTGTGTCCACGTCCAAAACCATAATCTTGCCATTATTCAGTCATTTCTTGGAAGGTGGTGTGGCGCCCCAACCTAATGTTAGCTACTAGCCTTGAAATTCAATCTCTGAACTAGAAATCAATAAATGTAATTAAACCGCTCAGCCATCAAACTGTGTGATACTCTCACTACCTTTTTAATATACTCTTTATATCAAATAAAGTGAGCAATTTATTTCCCTTTTGCAACACAGCAGAGCTAAAGCAGTTATCTAATCATCTCTTTCTTGGTTCCTTTAACTTATGAGCTGTGGTAAATTGTGGTGGTGTCAGAATGTTTTGGTAGGATCCTGAATCATATAGAAGAACAATGTAGACGTTTTTGGTACCACACTGCCCTCTATACCACTAACAGTGACAGCCTGACAGCGTTTGGGTGCAAGTGGTAAACATCTTAAAAATATGTGAAACTTTAAAATGTGTTTCATCAACATGAACTGTAAGCTCCTACAGCTCACCTGTGTGAACAGCACAAGCTTGCAAGTAATGTCAGGTCACATCTGGGAGCTGACAAATAATGAAAAACACCGGCATTCATTATTAGATTATTTAAGGAAGCAGGACTGCAATGGGAACAGCGATCTCATTGGCTAAATTAAAGCTCAATGGGAGGGGACAAAACGCGTTTTATTTAGACTAACATAGGAAAGGACTATAGAAACAGCAAAACTGCAGACTTGTGGAATATGGTGGAAGAACAGTGAAACTAAAACCTGGGGTCTGAAGAATCATCCGTGTGCACCAAATTATTAATAAATCAAAGTATTCTTTCTCTCTCCAAAGACCCCTGGGGTTCTCAAACTCCTTTTGGAACACACAGTTACAGGCTATACAACGAAGAGGGACATACAGGGAGAGGAGGAGGATGTGGGAGGTGCGAGAGATGGAGGCTTGGAGAGAAAATTGGTTCCCCCCACGCCCTATATAACCATTTGAGCTCTGGGATTGGATCCTATTGTATACATTGACTGTTCAGTCATCCTCAAATGGATGATTTCATCCAGACAAACAATTAAAAAATAAAACCATGTCTGGACCCGTCTGTCAACAACGTTTTGCGCTTAAACGGCAGCGAACTAGTTGCAAACTACCAAGTCCTGTTTGGCAGACAGGACAAACAAGATGCTATGACACACAAAGAACATCAAAGTCTATTAACCTAAAGCATAAGGCCACAACGATGATAAACTCCAAATACGCACATTAACACGCCCAAGCAGAAAATTATTTGCGTTCAAAGTCCGATAATGGCCGGAATTCGAATTGTGAATGCATCTAATCCACTCAACAGAAAGGGTTTAAACGCATGTTTAGTAAAAAAAAAAACGTAATTTTGTTTTTATTTTAAAAGATGTCCTCAAACCTATTTTAGTGAACTACATCCCCAAGAGCGACTCTGGACACCATCCTCGGTGCGTCACGGCTGACCCAGCAGAAGTATCAAAGCCTGGGTGGACTTTTTAGAATATGCCATTTGCTTTGCTTTATTTTATATTCTAAAAAATGATAACTTTGACTTGTATTTACGAATGCAAGAACAAGCAATTGGCATAGGCTTAACCACAAAAGCGTACCTCTGCATCACCAGCCCCAATCTCCGCCAGCATCCATCCTTAACCTTCACCTATACAAAAAACGAACTCATAAGCCTACCTCGCATAATACCGCAATAGATGTGGGTCATTTATACTAAAAATCACACAACCCTATATTATGCTTCAACTTAGGCTATAGTCAGCCAACTGCACCAGGCACCATAGACTATCTGTATTGCGCGGACATTCAAAACGCACCGACGCAAGAGGGTCCTGATATGAAACTATAGGAACAGAACAGCCCGAAACTGAGTTAAAGGCGTCCCCCTTAGTATTTCACGGTTTATTCTCACTGACAAAGAGGAAAAACGCTCCTTCCCAGACAAACTTTTGGCATAACCGCGATGAACGCCAGCTGTAACTGTCCGGAGTCAGTGATAAGGATGCCGCCGTTGGGACCAGAGGATGCTGCTCCAGAGTCGCCACAGCTCGGCCTGCATTTTAACACATTTGCATTGGCTACAACCTTGGAATACATCTCCACGAACCTTAATATGAATAATAAATAACACAGCGTCTTACCTGCACAGCCAATGAGCAGCAGCCCCCAGATGAGGTCCCTTATTTGAAGCATTGTAATGTGTCACAGATATTCTCCTTGAAGAGACGCACTTGAAACCAGAGAGGTGTACTGATGAGGGGAAACAGATACCAGCCCTTCCAGGGACAACAACTGCTGCTGGAAAGATTTTTGGTCCTTGTCGCTACCCGTGCTCGCAGCACAATGAATGACAACCAGGAGCCGTAGCGCGCACTCTCTCTCTCTCACACACACACGCATTCAATAAATACCCACATGAATTACTCCGCCCGGTAGGCTACACTCACACACCAACGCAGGGGGCGGTCTGAGGCGAGCGCAGTAACAAAGTAGTGCGCGGAGCCGTTACCAGGGGCTCTACTCCGGACTACTGAGTTTACAAACTAGTTAAAAACAAGACATGCATTCTATACTAAAGACTAGTTAGTGTGATTCAGGTAAAGACAGACTAAAGGCACCTCTAAACCAAATCTATTGTTCTAAACTGCATTTGCTTTATTTTAATTAAATCACAAAACCAGAAAAGTAAGTTCAATCCTTAAGTAACTGATGTGTGCTTGTGATCTGTTCTTTGTTTTCTTGCTGGATACAGGATGTTCTCTAAATCACAACTACTGCCAGAAATCCTGACTTTTTACAAAAATAATCTTTACAGTTTCTGCCTGAAACTGTGCCAGTAGCATGAGGTATGTCAGTGGCAGCAGCTACTAATTAAAGGTGATGTGATGAAGGTTACTGGAAGTCAACCAGAGACAAGAACAGCTAGTATTCCAGAACACACTGGCCCACATTCCCCTCCTCTGTGAAGAAACCACTTGATTTAACCTTGGCTGATAATGCCTCATTTTAGTTTCTGCAATAAACTTTACCACCACCAAACAGAAGTACATGAAAGATTTTTTTTTCCTATTTTATCACATCAGTATTGACCAACCTGGGTCACTGCTCTGCTGGTTGATGTCTGCTGTCCACCATTTGGTTCACAGACTCCTCAGACTAGGTTTCTTTTTATGAAAATTCTAACCTATGAAGATCACCTACAGTAGACAAAATAAACTTAGAGAGCTATTACCATATGAGTCGTATGTTATCTGCACCATTCCTCTGGTTTTTGGTAGCAGCCATTCTTCAGTCATTTTAGCTGTGGGTCAGACCTGCATGACATTTGGAGGAAATCTGGACCATTCTTCCTCACAGAGCTGCTTCAGCTCAGCCGTATTCTTAAGATGTCTGGTGGTAATGGCTCTCTGAGGTCATTCCATAGCATCTCTATAGGGTTGTCTGGGCTCTAGCTGGGCCACTCCAAGAGAAAAAAAAATATTTGTAGCCATTCTATAGTAGATTTACTTCAGTGTTTAAGGTCACTGTCCTGCTAGTGGCCAGCCACCCTGACATTATCCTGTAAGATGCCTTGATAAACCGGAGGAATGATTATCCTCTCCATGAGGGCAAACTGTCCAAACCCAGAGACAGTAAAGCAGCCCCAGCTCAACTGAAAGTCATTTTTTGGATGATGCTTTCATGCTGTTATGAAGTACCTTTTTAAACACAATGCATAGTGCTGTATGTTCTTCCTAAATAATTCAGCCTTAGTTCCATCAGTCTGTGAAATGTTTGTCCAGTTAATCAGTAAAAATGCACATCAATCACATGTTTATTTAAGTCAGAGCTAACACCTTCAGTCCAGCTGAACTGCTGGAGTGTCCAATTACTTTTTTTTTGCAAAATTCAGTTATGCAGTGATGATGTTTTAGAGGCAGTGGTAGGCATGGTACGATAACCAACACTGCAGTCACAAATTAATTATTCCTCTGCCTGAAAGGCACATCTGTACCTGAGTTTGATCCCATTATAAATTTACATACTTTACAATGTACAGCCTTCTTTGGCCTATAAATGTTTGCCTGGGGCCCCCATGTGAGAATTAATTTGGCCTTAATGCTTTAACAAATTCATTCAAATCTTTAATGGGCCCTAATTACATATGTGCAGTGTTCAAAACAACAGTACAGTAAAGAAAACACAGGTTAGCCATCCAGCAGTAATAACCATGAAATAGACCATTTAATGTCCTAATAAGAACATTTTATTTTGAAGCCCTGTATCAGCGGTATTGGATGCAGAGGTATCTAATTTTCTCACAGGTGAGAATTAATGAGATGGTGCATGTCATTTTACAATGTGAATCAACTGATAAAACTGGTGAAGGGTTATGTGAACATTATAATTGCTACAGACTAAGATAAACCCAAAACTTGAAAAGCAAATGTGTGAGTGAAGGCCACCTGTATTTTTTTTCTATATCCATATGAATCACATGCTAAGTGAATAAACACACCAGGATAACACTACTAAATCAGCGTGCACTGTGTATAATGGCAACCCTGTGTCATAGAAAAAAACTGTTATATACAACAAATGTTTGTTAATTGCAATAATTTTAAAGCCTTTATTTAAGAGGAAATAATTTTGTGCATTTTTTGTGCAGTTTTCATTTTAAAATAAAAATAATGCTAAAAATGCTATTGTAATTAAAATTAGATAATATTATACAACTGTAGAATAGAAGAAAACTAAATGACCAGTTATTTCACACAAACATCCATCCACCTGTCCCCCTTACCCTAATGTGGGCCTGGGGGGGGGCTGGAGCCAAACCCAGCTGACACTGGGTGGTGGGGTGTACATCCTGAACAGGTCGCCAGTCTAACACAGGGCTGACACTTAGACAAACAACCATACACATCCACACTCACCCCTACAGGCAATTTAGAGTCACCAGTCAACCTAAGATGCATGTCTTTGGACTGTGGGAGGAATCCAGAGCACCCGGGGAGAACCCACACAGGGGCAGGGAGAACATGCAAACTCCACACAGAAAACCATCAGGTCAGCCCGGGCTCAAACCCAGAACCTTCTTGCTGTGAAGCAACAGTCCTCAACACCATTCTGCCCTCCCACAAACATCAGCACTCAAAAGTACATAAGTATGAATAGCTTCTGTTCTCACCTAAGTGCCAGTCCCAGATAAGAAAACACGAATGCCAGAATCATTGTGAAAACTGTGCAAGTGGGTTTTAAGAAGAAATGTGTTCGTAAGAACTGAAGAATGAGGCTCAAACTTTCCTGTCAAATTTTGGATCTTGCAGTAAAACATCAATTTTTAGTTTCTACAGTATCAGGAAACCATTTTATGGTTAGGTTTGGGATCTCACACACTTGGTTACAGTTTTGGAAAGACTGTGCTCTGGTTTATTGCAGAAAAAAAATTAAGTTACTTTAGACACAGTGTGTTTATTTACACTTAATCAAAACCACAGTCTTTTCCTAATCTTAACCACTGTGCTTTTGTTCCCTAAACCTACAATAAGCACAGATGGGACTGTGGATGCAAACTCAGCTGCTGTTAATAAGTCTGGTGCTTTATTTATTCAAAAAATTATCTTGCCTCCAAACCAAATCCAGCTGGAGATTATGTTGCCTCTGCAATGACACTGGGAAATTAAGTTTAGTAGTTTATGAATGTTATTTCTAAGAGAGTGCTGATAATAGAGATAGTCCAAATTATTTCTTGTCTTTGGTGCATAATTTGGAAAGACATGAGGACCTAAAAGCTGCAGCATCATCTCTTTTAAGTGATTCAGCATCAATTCTCAGAAGCATTCAGTCACACATTTGGTGGATTTGTGGAATTATGGCCTGAAATTACACTAACTGTAGTGATCTGGCATACAAAGATTTCCAAGTTTATTCTTCATAATATGACATTTTAACAGGTCTCCCTCCCTCATTCTCTCTCACACACGAAACCACATGCTTTACATGTTTTCACACATGTTGATGAGGCGTTGAGCTGAGTGATAAATTCAGTTTTTGTGCCAGAAATGATGAAGGAGACATAGACCACTGCTCATGTCACACTATGCAGGTCTAATCTGAAAATGACTGTTCTATCAGTGCAAACCTTTGACTCAGAATGCACCAGAGGTTTTTCTTTACCAAAAACTGAGCTTTTCGAAACCACAGTCTAGTTAAGTTATTAGAAATCCTGTAATTGTATCAGAAAGTTTGATTTGTGCCGTAGAAAACATATGCATATAACAATGTTTGAATTTGCTCAGTAAATATGTTAAATTGCCAAACTCCTTAGAGAATGAACTTACTTCATGTTAGACACTTACAGAGCTTTCCCTATAGTGCCACCCTTAGGACAAATGGTCAAATTTGCAGACATTTATTTAGACTCACATTTCCATGAAATTTAGTAAGCCTGTTGCTCTCAATGCTTTTCCTCAAGCACAGGCCAACCGTTTATTTGCTGCTTCACCTTCAAATCTCAGCAAACAATCTAGCTTGGAAAGTTTGTGTTCCAAAGTTATACAAATTTCTTACATGTGTTGACAAGAGTCCAGAAATTGATGTGCATTGCCTTTTCGGGCTGGAAAGGTTACATAAAACTCAACATATTCACTACCAGTGAAGCTCTCCAGATTATTTTGAAATTTCTCTCCATGTGGTTGTTTTCCCAGTCTCTCTCAGCATTTCGGAAGCCATTTAAATGTTATTGTTTCTTTTTATTATTATTATTTTTAATCAATCATTTAGCAGCAGAAACAGAAATAACATGCAACAAGCAACAAAAGTTCTGGGACCTGGATGCCTGCCCCTTTCAGTACCTGTACATAAATATCTCCTATCTGACCTTATATGGATCTTATGTATACATGTAAACTCCAAATGAACACATGAATCTAAGGAATGGAAAGAATGCATCACAATGCATGTGATAAATTTTCCCCTTGTGTCATATAAAACAATGTGAAATGAAAAATAAGAACTAATCTAACATTGTTGTGTTCTAACTTTTATTGTCACTGCACTTTTCTTGTTCTATTTTGATCCCCATTAGCACCAACTATAACTATAAGAAAACTGTCTTAAAAGTGACATACTAGAAGTGTTACGCTGCAGCAGGAAAGAATAACAATTTACATGTGTGTATTATCGCTGGGCCACCAGTTTTAACAGTTCAAGTACATTGTGGTTACTGAGCAGAAAATTACACTGAGAGGAATCTGACAGATACCCTCTTACTGTTTATATAGAGAAACCTCGGCCTACGCCACGTCAGGGCCTAGGCAGCCATCAGCAGTGGAACTAGCTAGGTAATATTATTTTGTTTTCTTTGTTCATGGGTGTAAATTTAAG